ATATATATATATATATATAATTATTTACTCAACAAGGACAAAATATAATCATAAACTTCCACATGTATCTTGTCGTCAAAAAGGAAGATGAAGAGAGTGAAAGAAGGGTTATAATTTGAAACGTCATTCAATAGCAAACGCTTCTAACAGGCCTCTACAAACGGACGTTAAAGACAAGGCAGGAAGGAAGTAAATTCCTTCAACCAACAAAATAATAAAATATAATAAAACAAAAATTAATACATTTATGGATTAAGCAGATTTTTAACCTAAGTACCAATAACACAACATATTATTTTTTCTCGTGCTTATTGAGTTTCAACACTTCAACCTTATTCTATATATAAAAAAAAAAAGGTTAACCTCCTCTCTTTTGGTTTTAAAAATCTTCAACAATGTTAGACTAGATTAAATATCTGATAGAAAAATAAATAGAAAAAATATTAGCCTAGATTATATTTTTTTCTCGTTTACTTTTGATTGTTTTTGCCGCTTCGAGTTTTTCTGCATCTACTTGCCCGTGCCAGAGAAGCCAAACGCCGCAACTTCGTCAAAGGTTGCGAAGAGGGACATCGAGAGTTCTTCATCATTCTTCTCAGCATCCAAATATTTTAATGAAGTTTTTAGATCTCATTTAGGATTAATCAAATCCTTTGATAATGGTTTGCAGATCCGGTTTTTGGCCGGTACCAAGTATGAAAATATCGATATTTATAGAAATATATGTATTTAAATTTTATGAAAATATCGATATCAGTTAAAATTGACGTAAAAAACAGAAATTCATATTAAAACACTTTATTTTCTAATAAGATTTTAAAAACTTTAAAATAGATAATAATATATTAATAAGATGAAACTCACAATTAAAATACCAATTATTTGATAAATATGTAAAGTAAAGTGTGATCATAATATCATAAATACTAAGCACACGTTGACAAATTAAGTAAAACAACTGAAAGTAAACATAATACATATACCATACATATATGGTTTTGGGATTCCTACATGATGATAAATTATCAATACCAAAAGGAGCTTTTAGGAGGTTAGAAGGTATTTTGAACACATTCTTAGGTTAAACAATATTGATACCAATATTTTCAGAAATATCCATGAAAATTTTAATATATTCTGTGAAAAAAAAACTACACCTTTATTTTCATACGATACTTTTAAAATATGAAAATTTTCACAAAAATATTGATAAAAATATCAATATTTTCATCCTTATCCGGTACTAAAGAATATGATTTCGCCACCACCATATATGGTTAGAAGATGATTCTCTTCCCGTTTTCAAATCTGGTGAGTAAAGAATGGGAAGGGATAGAGAGAGAAGGACTAGTTCTATGAGAGAGATTTTTTATCGGAGGCAAATGAAAAAAATGGAGTGATATTTCTGTTACTTTCTAATGATGAGGTGTTGAAATTTGAATGGAGGGACAAAGAGGGAGATCTGTGTCCATTAAAATCACTTTCCCAGAAAATCAATTACTATTGTTTTCCAAAAGGGCATAGATGCAAGATAACACTAACTAAATATACAAATAAAAGGAAGAAAAATATATATATTTTTTGATACGATGTAGAAGATGACACACATTGTTAAAATATAAAATTCTTCTTAAATTAATAAATATGTATTTATTAATAAATTAATAAAATATTTATTTATTGATTCTCGTTAAAATAATATTTTTTTTAGTCCTAATTATATTGTCTTATTGAGATTTTACAGTAGTAAGACACTCTAATAGTCTAATAAATAATTGAATAAGAAAATACGAGAAAAAGGAGATGACAAACAAATTTTAACACGGTTTGAAATTATAGTGACTTGGTATTTGGGCTTATCCATGACATGAAAAATAAAAATAAAAATAAAAATGTTATTATGTTCATTCAAAGACATGAAAAATAAAGAAAGCAGCACAAATCAAGATGAAAATGTAATAATAAAAATAACATTGTCCGGCACGAGACCTATCTATCACAATCAAGAGTGCATGGTGTCTCCACTAGACTTTTACCCTAACAACGCCGAACGTGTTACTCTGTATGGCGAACGTGTTAATATGCATGTAGACGTTTAAAATAAAAATTAATTTGCATGGCTCTCAGTATCACGAACGTGTTAATCTGTTTCCTTTCCCATAACAACGCTGCAATGAACGTGTTCGTTTCTCTGTCACTTTCAAGTTTTAGTGGTCTCGTTTATTTCGCTGATTCGAGTTTAGAATTCGAGTTTTATTACAGTAAAAAGCTCTCAGAAACAGTCACATTTAACTTTTTTGCTACAGTAAAAAGCTCTCACACAAAATCACATCTCAACTCGAATTACAAACTCAAATCAGCGAAGTGAACGGGCCCAGAATGGTCACATAGATTCACGATCCACGATGCACATAAAAAGAATCTTTTTCTTTTTCCGCTTTTAACTTACACAAGTATTTTCCTAGTACAGGGGTTGTTGATTTACAAAATTTTTGAGTTAATGGCACAAATACAGTGGCGAAGTAGGATTTCGATTCAGGAAGGCGTAAGTAAAAAACGTGAAAAGCCATATCAATTCTTAATAATATTACATAGTTAGAAGGGTATAAATATTCTTGATTTTTTTTTCTACGTAATATTAGAATTTGCATAAAAGTTCAATTTTAATCTGATTTATTATTCTCTTATGCATATAGTTTAGTGAAAAAAAAAAATAAAGGATAACACTTAATGAAAATCATATTGATGTGAAAATTTTGAAAATAAATTATTTAGTGGGTACATAAGAAAAAAATAATATTTAAAAAGGATGCAAGAAAAAAAAGTTTAAGTAGAGACGTATTAAAAATTATGTCAATCTGGTCATTTGAAAAAAAAAAAGTACATAATATGCCACATTTCTAAAGATATTGTGTTCAAAAACTATAAAAAAACGTATGAACAAAAATATTTAAGTAGGGATGCATTTTAAAAAGAAAAAAATTACTTCAACACGCGCAAATAAATTAGAAAGAAAAAAAATTTAGTAAAGACATATTTTAAAAAAAATTAATAGGAATAAATTAGAAAAAAATTTTGTTGATGAGGAGGTATGTATAAGATCTTATTAATGAGGAGGCATATATAAAAAATTCTTGAAAAACTAAATGCAATAAAACAAATTTTCAAAAATTCAGAGGCCATATAAGAAAAATTTTGAAAAACTACATGCTATAAAACAAGTTTTCAAAAATTTAGGGGGCATATATAAAAATTTTAAAAAACCATATGTAAAAAACAAAATTCAAAAATTCAAGGGAGGCACATGCTCCTCTGGGCACATGCTCCCTCTGCCATTGCATAAATAGTCTTAACTTTGAGTAAAATGACATATTGACTCACTCAACTTCTAATTTTGACATATTAATCTTTAAATTTTTAATTTTTTATAGTTTAGCCTTGACACTAAAATTGATGACGCTTTAATGAAATTTTAACAAAGAAAATCACATGCCCATCACATAATAACTGAAAATTTTGCGTAATGTACTAATTTAAATATAAAATAACTCTTTCTTTAAAATTTTAAGTTTTCGCACAACATACACGTGATTATCATTATAAAATTTTAGAAATCATTTGTCAATTTTAATGACAGGGACTAAAATTATCCAAAAAAAAAAAAAAAACGTAATTAACTTTAGGAACTAATTAATGTGCTAATTAAATGTAAATGATCAAAGTGTCACTATACTAAAAATGGAGAGACTATTTGTGTCAATTATCTAAAAATTTATCGTCCATCCAAATTGCAGAATTTCTAGAAAACCGAAATATTTTTTAAGCAAAGGAAAATTCTTTATAGTGAAGTTCTGTAAATCTATACTGAAAAAAGTATTGACTCGATGAGGTCGTAGGACTTTCCAAGCAGCCTTGGACATTGTCTGTCGTTTTCTTCGTGGTAAGCTATTCCACATCGATTCTAAATAGCTTCATATACAAATTTTGTAAATGATGTGATGTATTTTACTTTGGGCTTTATGAGAGTAAATTCGGTAAATTCTGGCTTTATCAAATTTAGTTATGGCATAATTAATTCGGTAAATTTTAACTTTGATAATTGAGTCTCCAAATCCCCATATGCTTGTTGTTTTCGCATTGATTATCATTTTTCTTTTCAAATTATAAGTACGTTTGTCATTATTTTTAGAGACAATCTTAAAAAAAACTTTTTAAATTCTATTTTACATGTAATATATACTTTGTATATTATATAAACATTTGTTCAGAATCTTGATGTTTTAAAAAACGCCATTAACAATATACTGAGTTACGTTTAAAAAAAATTGTGAATTAAAAAATTGTTATTTTAATTATTTTTTTTTTTATCAAAAGAGTTTCAATTAATTAATAAGAAGACCAAGATTAAAAATTGTCTTATTGTTTTGTTTTATTTGTTATCACATTAAATGAAAATTAAAATATTTTTTAAGAAATGTAAATTTAAAAGTGATGGGTATATAGTAATTTTGCTTTTAACTATTTAAAAACAATCAATATGTGTGACAAGTATCATTGTTGTAAGAAACCCTAACGAAAGGGATTTTTTTGTTAACTTTTCGTACTTCAAGAGAAACGGATGTTCTATTTTCAAGATCAACCAGCAAAGTGTTATAAGAGCACAGTTTAAGGGGAACCTTTGTGAATAATCCTATCATTGTTGTTTCATAAGTTGTGCAAATTGAAATGTAACATTGGTCATGCATTCATCACTAGAAATTAACTTCCTTCCCCAAAAAACTCTACAATTTGATATTACTCCTCTTGACCAAAATAGATGAAGATCATGTTTCTCAGCCTTTCTATGATACAAGGTGGAAGATTAATAGCTTCCTTAACTACTGAATAAATACCTACCCCAGTTTGTTATGCCAAGATCGAATTCCTCTTATGATGGCTTCTTTCTTGAAGTAGACTTGTTCGACTTGGAAGACGGGCTCGCGGTCTCCTTGAATGCAGAAGGACAGAGTTCGCTTACAGTACAAGCTCCACATCGGGGTCGTAGAGGAGTACACACTGTTTGACCAAATCCAACCTATTTGAATAGCATCAACCAAAACAAAATTTAAGAAATGGAAGCAAAATCAAATGTTTTGAGTAAAATTCGAAGAAGCAACAAGCGTTTAAAATCAATGAATGCTTGTACAGATACGGAACAAATTCATATCGGCATAATGCGTGTGTGTATGTAAAAAGTGCCAAGCATATGAATGGCGCAAGTATTTCTTGGTGCAGAACTAATAGCCAACACAAACCAAAAGAGGGTTTATCGGAACCCATTCTTCCTTTGGTAGCCACTTTTGTAATGCCTCTCTTGTTTCCTCGGGAGTAGAAGTTTTCTAAAAAATAAGACACAGAGGAAAAAGAAAAAGATTAGCCCTCATTGCAACTCTTAATTATGGCACATTACTTAACTGCATAGCTCTCATTAATGTAATCACGAGCAAGTTTTTGGTTGATTCTTCAACCAGATTGAGCATTGAAGCAAACTAATGTGCTACGATTACAGAAGTAAACTTTGAAAAGTAGTGCATCATAAAGGAAAATGATGACCTCTTTTACCACTAAATCTTATTTGTAGTTGTCATTAGGCGTTCTATTTCACATGTCATTCAGGTCTAAGGACGGGATAACTATTGTTCCATCCACATTTTGCTGTGTTTTGCAAAACAAATCAGGAATGTTTTAATGCTCTAAAGTGGAACTGAAATACACCATTGAAACCGTACTTCGACAATACAATACCACCTAACTTTTTCTTAGTTAGCTCAAACTAAATGAAAAGCCACAAACCTGTCCAATCACGGAACACACGATGTACGGTTGTCAGATATGACTAATCCCAAAATTTAAATCTTTTCCCTCTTTTTTGGATAAGAAAAAAGCAATTTTACTGAAACGAGAAGACATTCTATCACACAATATAGTGTTACTTTAAACTAACGATGAGAAACGAAAAATAATATTAGTCAAATTTGGCACTAAGTACAACATATCTCAAATTTTACACCAATAGCAGCATTGCATTAGGGAATGATTTTCCCAACTAATTTCGCACTGGCACATAAAATTGACACTGCGTTAGAGGTGCTCTAAAGATGAGATAAGAAAAATGATATAAGTCACACAATCAAATTCAAAGAACCCACAGTTATAGAAAAACCAGGTTGCACACATAAAAAATAATCCCATTTTAGTAATGAAGACGGTAAAGTTGAGAAAAGCAAAATGATATTAACGATGGACGTCACATTCAAAGAACACCCCGCCAATAAAATAAAAGAAATAGGTTGCACGCATTAAATATAATTCTGAACGTTACAATAATCCATCTTTGCCTACAAATTATTTTCATACTTTCTCATCACTTAAACCTCTTTTCTCTGAAATTCTCATCCTTTAATTCTGAAAAGCAAAATGATCAAACATAATCCCATTTTAGTAATGAAGACAGTATCGTTGAGAAAAGCAAAATGATATTAATAAGATACCTGTTTTGTGCCTGGCCGTGACACCCATCCTAGTCGATTGCAAATGCGGTGCACATGAGTATCAACACATATGCCTTGAACATCATTCCAGCCAACATTCATAACCTAAAGTGCAATAAAACATACATTTTAGTATCACAGTCGCATGCTGATTTTCAGAAGTGCACAATACTACTTTGCGTCTTACCAAATGCGCCATCTTAGGACCAATCCCTGGAAGCAAAAGCAGCTCCTCTAATGAGCGGGGAATATCTCCATTGCACTTCATGAGACAAATATTTGCAATTTTCTTCAAGTTATTTGCTTTTCTAGTATAAAATCCTACCTAAAAAAGATAGCAATAATCATAATACAGAATTTCATATGCGACATAGTAACAAACAAGGTGCAAAATTATGTTTGGCATAAGAGCGATATTGCAACCAGTATTTTTGAACCTAACAAAGTCAATGAGGGGCCGTTTGGTATATAGGTTCAAACCATGGTTCAAACTATTGTTCTTGATTATGACTTTTGAAATTCAAATTTTTTATAAGAGAAAAACACTGTAGCAGAACTAAAACCATGAGATGCACTGTAGCAGAACCCATTACCAAACATCACATGAATAAGATATACCGGGTAAATCAAGCTTTTTATAGTTGCTTCATCGGCTTTGTCAATGGCATCAGCAGTGAGCAGATCATTTTGAAGAAGGCGCTGAATTGCTCCTGAATTTAAAGGAATTTTGTAAGCACGTCATTTGAACTTTGAATGGCATAAAGGTAAGCAACTGAACTGAATAAAACATAGTGCATAAAAATGTGGAACACGCAGATTTCAGGACTGATGACATGAAGTTCTGCATGATCTCCTACATTTTTATGAGGGTCAACACCACTTAGAAGCATGATAATCACATGAAGTTATAGTCTGTTCAATCTTCCCACCGACAATTTAATATTCATCTAGCCCAAACTTCTCGTGATTTTTGAAAAAACAAAATAAAATAAAAAACTAAAACGCCCCACAATAAGAGTCGTGACTGTCATAAAATAATAGACAACGATGCATGTATGTGAATACTCTAGTAATCTCTAGCTAGTCTTTTTGCTGAGTGAGTTTCCATATTCATTAGAACAAAATTGCAATTTCCTAACTGAATTCTTGATCTTCAAATGTTATTGTTAGAAGAAATCACGTATCAAAGAAAAATTTTATATACACATTAAGAAAGAAAAGTGAGAACTTGCCATGATTAACATGATCCTTTGTTTGGCTTGATAAGAGAGAAGAAACCAAGACGGCAAATCTTCGTTCCTGATTAGTATATCAGAATCAGGAATAATTAATACATCCATATCATGTTCCCAACATGCAATAGAAGTTTATCAAAATAGCAAAGCATTGATGATTCTGAATGCAACAGAGTATATATAAAATTTTTAATTAAGAAAAAAAAAGGTTATAATTTACCTCTGTCAACATTATGAAGATATACAAAGGTAAAAGTGTATTCTCCCGCCTTCATATTTCTCCAAAAGGGAAAGAAAATAAATACAAAAATAAACCATTCAATCAAGATACCAGAATGAGAATTTTAGCACACGCGCAACATTAAACTAAGACTAATGTCTGATACTAAAACCCATAACACAAATATGGTTGCAGAAAATATCTGAACCAGATAAGCGAAGTGTCCCTGGAAGAAAATGATTCACAAGGAAAGCAGTATCCTTCAGAAGCACAAGTGCCAATACATTTTCCCCAAACTTCTAATGCAGGGACTACTCTAGATAAGAATTGATCAAGAATTGAGGTACAGGAATACCGAAATCCCAAGTAGGCATTCCATGCTATACCTAGTCTATAAATTTAGAAAAAATTGTACCTTAGGAGGAAGAAGAATTCCAGCCTTTTCACATCCCATAGTATCTACTGGTGCATCTTCAGAAGACCTCATTTTGCGAATGCCTTCAAGGACTTTCTCCCAGTTAGCAGGTGGTTCATCTGTGTCAAATAAACTCTGTTCTAAATCCTCCTTGAACTAATACTACAGACTTGCAAAGAAGTATGAAAATATCTAGAAAAGAACCAGCGGTTACTTCTCCCAAACATGGGTTATTATATCGAACAGGAACATAAAAGAGAGAATAAATAAATTTAAAATAAAACACAAGTAACGTTATTTTCTAGCTATGGTTATGTAAGATCCATATATTTCTACACACAAAAGAAAGAAAAAAAGAAAATTCAGAAGTTTAAAACCCTCCTAAGTTATCTACATTTTCAACTAACTTGACGTAACAATTTTTCAAGTAATGAACTAAAGAACAATCAGTAAATGTTCCCAGCAATAGAAATATGAACAAATAAATATTGCAGATGATCGATGGTCTTCTATACTAGGTACAGAGCAATGTTTTGCTTTTAATTATTGAAAGCACAGTATTTGGGAACAATGCAATATATTCAGCCCATTTGTCTCACGGGTTTGAACCACGGTTCAAACTCTTTTATTACAGTGTTTTCTCTTACAAACAATTTAAATAGAGCCTATGAACCAAACAGGCAAATTGTTTAAAGACCATCAATCTAAATGCAACAAACTGATGAGCACAAATGTGGATCCAATAGCACCCTTCATAAAAATAAATCAGCTCTTGGAAAGACTAATCCTTTTGAGGTGTTATTATTACAAAGGAGAAGGCCCAATGCTGCATTGTCCCCTATTTTAAGTGTAAAATGCATGAGACTGGATCCAGTAGTATGTGTACGTACTTGTCAATGTGTGTGTGCGAGACTGCAAGCGCAGTACAACTTAAGCTAACTAATAATTCCTCTGTCAATCCCATCCATAAGTAGCAATAGTATTTGCTCAAAAATACAGTTTGCAGTTATAAGATGCGTTAGCATTTACCTCTTGGCCTAACTAGAGGAGAAACTTCAGCTTCCGCCACAAAAACATCAGAAACATCTTGCGACTTCTCTGCAGAACCAAGTACAATGAGAATGATTTCAGAGAAGATCCATTCTATATAAACTTTTGAGATGGTGCTTGCAGATTGATAAGTACCCAGGCAAAATTTGGAAAGAAAATGAATCAAACTCAAATTGAACAGAGGAACGCGATAGAGCTGGATTGTATTTAGACTGAAATTGGTAAACAAGTACAGATAGACAGTAGATATTCGAGAGATCTGCTTCTCTCCCTAGAGCAAAGCTCAAAACTACAATCAAAATCCAGCTACCTTTCCAGAATCCCATTTTCCCCCTTTTATTCGATCTCCCAAATCAGTAACAAACTCTCAGCAACCCCTATATGGTGAATGCATGGACATGTGAGTGTGTGCACACACATCATACTCACTGAACACCTATACGTAAGCCAATATGGAGAGGAAAGGGATTAAAGAGAACCATAAAGATAAAAATAAGACACGTCCAGCTATGGCTAGACAAGCAACTTTAAGTGAGGGTCTCTTCTTGAATTTTTGTTTCCAAGGGCTTCAAAGACATTTCCTTTCTTCAATTGTTGAGTTAAAAGTCCTATTAACATAGTTTGTTTTCCTTTTTTCTTTTGGTAGTTTTCTTTCATTTTTGTAACAACTTCTTGTATTGTTGCTCTTCTTCAATAAAATTCTTGTTTCCAATTCAAAAGGCAAAGGTGGGAAAAAGGTTTTCTGAAAGTTATTCTTTCAGTTTATGCTGAATATGGTGAATGCCCAAGTTGGGCAATTATCCATGGCGGGGAAAACCAAGCAGTAACTAGAACAGCACATAATAAATTAAGCCATTAATCCTGATGTAAGGCCAACAAAATATTTTATGAATTCATCCAAACTTTTATCCCGCTGTAATTTGGTGTTTGTTGGATTTTTCGGTTTTCTTGTTCTGTCTTGTACTTCTAGTTCGTTTTTTTCTCATCGATGGATAACTCATCCGTCTTCTTTTTGTATCTGTTTCTGTTTGTTTAATAAATTCCCGTTTCTTATCAAAAAACACGCGATGGTCAGGACTCAGGAGCAGATGCGAACGAGGAAACACACGAAAAACAGAAGCAAGGTTTAGCTTGCTTTCTTGTATGCAAAAGTACTAACTTGAAGAGGCAGATCCACTTGCTTTCTTGTATGCAAATTCTTCGATGTCGGGAAGGACAGACGACTGTGTACAAGAAGCTGATTGCGATATAATTAACGATGAACACGCAAAGTCTTAACAGAAGCAAGGTTTAGCTTCAAGGTAAATGTAAGTAAACAATAAATTTTTTATGAGTATTTAATAGTACATGAAGATCCTATGAAATTGATACTAGATACCACAAATAAGGACTTAAATTTTAGAGGCAATGAACTCAATCAAGAAAGATACCTCTTGAAAAATTAAAAGCTTTCTTAAAATAATACAAAGAAAATGCATAAACAAGACAAGGTACCAGCATAAACTAAAATAAAAACGCAAACTGAAATGAGATTTCTCATATTAATAAATAACAAAAAAAAAAGAAAGGAAAATAATGAAGTCGTGTATAAAATCACATATAAGTTATAACCCATCAATATTTTTGGCAAGGGACATTAAAATATTAAAAAATAAAAACGAATCACACAAATTTTCACTCTTAAAACTTAGATTTTGATTTGTCGCCTCACCTTCTCGTCACGAATATTAAAAAATAAAAACGAATCACACAAATTTTCACTCTTAAAACTTATATTTTGATTTGTCGCCTCACCTTCTCAAGAGGCTTTGCTTGGATAGTCTCTTTGAGTCTCTTTTTTCTCGAGAAAACGCGAAGTTCTGGCACTGAAACGCCATTGGAGGACTCGGACCCTGCAATATTACAGACATTAACACAATTTTTAGTCCCCTTTTCCTTTGTGGGTTTTGGTACCAAGAAATGAAAGAGTGGAAGCTTCAGTTCTGTACTAATAAGACAACCTGGGTTTTGGTCTGTTATGGAAGAGAAGCTTGTTTTCGACATTCTTCTTGTTGTTGTTCTGGTAATAATGCTTCCCACTTGAGTTGCCAAGTTCCTTGGGGGAAGAGCCAAGGACATTCTCTTGCTGGTACTATTACTGGCACTATTTACTCGTGGGCGGGGGAGAAATCATTTTACATCGATACCCTCGTACAATTTTTTATATAGGTATATAAGATTTAATTATAAATATAATAATAAGTAAATGAGTAGAGGTGTCAATTGAGCCAGATAATCCATGCCAACCCGTTACAGTGATCAATTTTGCACGGCACGGCCTAACTCATAACAGTACAGGGCCGGGCAGGCCCAGCACGCTAGAAGGGATTAGGTTGAGCCTCATGTTTGAAGCTCCCAAACTAGGCACGACCCAGGCATGGCCCAGGCCCGTGAAGGGCCAGACACGGCCAGCGAAGGTTCATACCCGCGACATGAAATTTTAATGAAGTTTGAGGTATTTTAGTGTCAACCGGTCGACTTATGTCATCCAGTCGATCAGTCATTTTTTTGTAATTATTCATATTATTTCAATAAAATCACATTTTAATAATACGTAAATGGATGTGTCTATTTACGCTCATTTTTTTATTCATTAATAAAATTATTTTAACCACAATAGTATACTAAAAAAAAAACTTATTACACACTCCACCATTAATAACCATTCAATTAAATCTAACGGCTTACAATAAAGAGTTTCATCAATTCTAAAATAGAAATTGCTTCAAAAAATAAACCTTTATGTTTGACCTTTAGGCTCCAGAGTTTGGTATGAGAATTCGTGTCATGTTCGAAGCATGGTTCGTGACTCGTTATAGTATTTTTCTCATAAAAAATACACGTAAATTGAGAATAATTTTAAATTATAGTTCTAAATCAGTGAACCAAACGTCATAAATATTCCCAAAATTATTGGTGGATTTAGAAAATTTTGACAAATTTTCAAAATGTTTAGCGACAACACGTCGTCACTGAATCTTTTATTTGGGTGGCAAAATGAATTTTTGGGGGTGATTTTTCTAACGTGTTGTCGCTAAAAGGTTGCCCAGTTTTTAACGATGTTGCAATTATGTAGCGACGATGGGAGGAATTTTAAAAGTCGTTGCTAAAGGGTTTGCGTATAAACCTAGCACGTAGACCCTTTCTTCCCCTTTTTTCTTTCCTTCTTTCTTTTTTCTACTCTTCTCTCGGTTTTCCTTCTTCTCCTCAGCCGTCTCTGCCTCCATAGCCCCAAAACACCTCAATTTCTTCCCCATTTCTCAATCAAATTAGGACCAATTACCATTTCCTTCAATTTTCATCTGATTTGAATGAAAAAATCCAAAAATGTCACAATCCCCAAGACCACATAGTGACGGCCACCTAGTAGGATCACTTAGTTTTAACTACAATTGTAAGGAATTTTTTTTAAATGCTATAAAGAACGTTGTAACATTTTGAACACAAGTCTCTTTTTCTTAAAATGCTATATCATATTGTACTTTTTCCAGCCAAAATTCACACTTCTCAGTCTACTCATATTTTCTTTCCTTACGTATAAGAGCTGTGAGTGGAGCGGCTAGCTTCAAAAATCTCTTAATGAAGCGTCGCTAGTATTGGGTGGCCGTTACTCACATTTGGCCGGATTTTAGGACTCCGTCAACGGAGATAGTAGTTGTTGTTATGGTTGTAGTTGTGTTAATGTTGTTGCTACTGTGGCTGACATTGTTGTTTTTATTGTTGTTATTGTAATTAGTTTAGGTTATTCTGAATTTACTATTAAATTGATATAATTTGGTTATCTTAATAGGGATTTTTATGTTAGTATTGATTTTGTTATTGAAATTGATATTAGTAGTGATTTTGGTTTTGAATTGATGTTATGTGGATATTTTTGTTTAGGTTTAGGTTTTGGGTCATGTTAAAAAGAAATAAAAAATATAAGTTAAATGAAAAAAAAAATATTAGGAGATTAGTAAAGAATTGATAAAAATAAGAAAAAATAATTGTGAATAAATTTGATATTTACATTAAAATTGAATGAAAAATAAATTGTGAAATAATAATTCAATAATCTCATGTCAAATAATAGAGTAAGATTATTATCATAAAATTTAATTAAAAACAGCTAAGGTAATTAAAAATGTTTACAAAATAATAAAATTTATAAAATTTAATTCAGTATCCTCTGCAGCTTCAACTCAGGAGGAGATTTTGGCAGAGGTACTGAGACAGTGACGACGGGGACATAGGAAGGGAGTTGGCCCAACGATGTCTCAGAAAAACATATTTCACATTCTTTAGCAGCCGTAGTCCAATTATGAGGAACTTACTTAGTGATTTTAGCAGGTCTACAAGCACCTTAGCCAAGCGAACATCCATGTCCCTCCCCCGCCACGTGCATTTCAACCACCACCACCACCGGCGATGACAATGATGCTGCAGATTTAGGGGAGCATTAGATGTTATTTATGTTATTTCTTGTTTTTAGAGACTAGTTACTTTGCTTTAGTGTATATATACAATATTATCAGACATTTCTTTCTATGTTTAGTATGTTATCTCAACTTCTAATATTATGACTTATAACATATGTTTAGTATTCACTTTTATTAATTCATGTGATATGTGATTATTTGTTATTTTTAATTATTATATTACTTTATTATTACACATATTTTATTAATCATTTGATATCAAATTTGATTATTAAAAAAGAGAAATTAAAAAACTATTCAAAAATAAATTAAAAAATATTACTTTTAAAAAAAATAATTAGGTCACTTGTCGTCGCTATATACCAAAAAAATAATTAGGTCAACTTGTCGTCGCTATATACTTATAAAATTTCTAATAAAGAAAAATATTCAAAATTGAGTGCGAAAGAAGTAGGAAAATTGTTTTGGTTTTTTCCCATATTAGAATATGGGACATTATTTATTTACTTTTGTTTTTAAAGAGAATTTTATAAAGGGACACAAATAAGAAACCGACCCTTTAAAGTTTCCTTGTGTGGCAAAATTCATATATATCATTCATCTTTTTTTTTTCTTCTTCTTCTTCTTTAGGGAATTTGAGCTTATATCTCTTTAAGCTTTATCCTTGTCGCTTTATGCTTTCTTAATTTTGTGAGGCTCAAGTGACTTGGTTATGTATGGTGTGACACGGCACTTCCTTGTAAAAGACTATATTCCACGATTTAATTATGCACCATATTTGTGTCTTTTTGACTTCCAAGAACTAAAGCTCACACTTAGAAGTAAGTTCAAGAATAATTATGTAATTTTAATCGATCATAAAGCCTAAGGAAATCATGCTTTGAAGCAATGTCTCTCATTCTTCGCTTTGTGAAAACCTCCTCGCTCTTGAATAAGCAAAACTGAGCACTATATTTGGATACTTCAATTCTGTAAGTAAATCGTCCTTCTCTCTCTCTCTCTTTCACTCTTTTATAACCAAATAACTATAATTTTGTGTGCATTGTAGTATGGTCTCTTCTTGCATGGTGGCATACATTTGCACTAAATATTGTTACTAATTTTGGAAATAAAATTCTACATAGTTAGGGTTAGACCCTAAGAAAATTAATGCAAATATTTCTGTATATTTGTTGTTTTGTACCACCCCCAAGTTTATTTTAACTCATTCGTTTCTCTAAAATAATAATACTTCAACAATGAATGTATAGGAAGAAATCCTTTTCTAATTCTTTTCCTCTCAACGATATGGCCATTGTTGCTTCTTCTTCTTCTTCTTCTTCTGTCGTGATCAACAATGAAGTCTTCATCAGTTTTAGAGGAGACACTCGTAAGAACTTTACTAGTCATCTTTACTCTGCCTTATGCCGGAAAGGCATTCGGACCTACAGAGATGATCCGAATCTCGAGAGAGGAGATGAAATTTCGGTTGCACTTTCAAGAGCAATTGAGGAATCGAAGATTTCAGTAGTCGTCTTCTCGAAAGAGTATGCTTCTTCTAGATGGTGCTTGAATGAGCTCGTGCACATTCTCAAATGCAAGAATGAAAGAGGTCTGATTGTTTTACCCGTCTTTTACGACATCAATCCGTCATATATTAGGAAACAGATGGGGAGTTATGCTGATGCCTTTACTGCACACAAAGAACGTTTTGAGCTGAAAAAAGTGGAGGAGTGGAGAAATGCTTTGACTGCTGCAGCTGATCTATCTGGCTTTCATTCAAAAAATTATCAGTAAGTATGATATTGTATATAAATCTTTGAAATAATATTTGAAAATAGAAAATGACAACACAAGTAAGAATTAATTATTACTTCCTCAATTTGTAATTTTTTTTAATTTTAAAATTAAAATAGGTAAACAGTATTAGCAAAATCTAATAAGGTGAATTTGCTACTTTTCAATTTTTGAAACAAATAACAAAAACAAAAGTGCAAGCAAAGCTATAGTGCTTAAAGTAACATATTTGGATTTAAAATGCCTTGCTAAACAAAACATAATACAAACTGAAACTGTCAGATAATGAATCACAATCCGTAATATGAAGGATACATCTTATTTCTCAAAAAAGAATAAAAAAAGTACACATTTTATTTTGTTTTGCTTTATTGCTAATTTCATTGTGTTTTTTCATACTAATTCATTTCTCTCTTATATTTATGCTAGGTATGAGTCGGAATTAATTGAGAAGATTGTGAAAGATGTATTGAGGAAATTAAAACGATTGCCACAAATTATTATTGCTACAAAGGGCCTTGTAGGAATATATCGACAACTGGAGGAAATTGAATCCCTGTTATGGTTTGGATTACCAAATCCTCGTGTCATAGGCCTTTGGGGGCTTGGTGGTATCGGCAAGACTACTCTTGCCATTGAAATTTTCAATCGATTCTCTTATCGATTTGAAAATTGCTGCTTTCTTGAGAATGTTAGGGAAAATTCAAAAAACTATGGACTGCCTTATCTAGAAACCAAACTTTTTCGAATCTGCTGGAGGAAAGAGATCTGGAAAGTCCAGTCAACAGCTTTGTGAGAAATAGGCTCCACAATAAAACGATGCTCATTGTTCTTGATGATGCCCAGGAAGTAAAGTCATCATAACGACTAGAGATGCACAACTTCTTAAAAAGGATGCCCACGAAATACACCAAGTTAAGCCATTATATTTCAAGAAAGCACTTGAACTCTTTTATTTGAATGCCTTTAAAACAAAGCCCTCCATAACACGTTTCATTGAATTGTCGAAAGCAATAGTAACTTATACTGGAGGCAATCCTCTTGCTCTGAAAATTTTAGGTTCCTCCCTTCATTCTCAAGCCGTAGAATATTGGGAACACACATGGAATAAGCTAAAAATAATTCCCCATTCAGACGTTCAAAAGGTGTTGAAAATAAGTTATGATGGGCTAGATGATAAGCAACAAGATATTCTCCTTGATATTGCATGTTTTCTTAGAGGGGAGACAAGAGATTTTATAGAGAGCATACTAGATAATTGTGATTTGTTTTCAAGTTCGGGGATTGAAGTTCTCATAAACAAGTCTCTCATTACCATTTGTAAGGGCGAAGTTCAGATGCATGATTTGATACAAGAGATGGGTTGGGAAATTGTTCGGCAACAATCTATTAAACATCTTGGAAGGCGTAGTCGGTTGTGGATTCCTCAAGACGTCTATCATGTCTTAGACAACAATGAGGTAAGTATCTAATGACAATAAACTATAACATCTCTCTCTGACATAATTAGTTTTACTAACTTTTTTTTTTCACATTTCATATGCTCATTTATTTATTTTTAATTATCTAGGGAACCGAAGAAATCGAAGGAATATATCTTGACATATCTAAGATTGATGATGCTCTACACTTGGAACCTATAGTTTTCAACAAGATGCATAGACTGAGATTGCTCAAGATATATGTTTCAGATTATTCACATCATAGTAAATTCAAAGTACACCTAACTCAAGGTCTGCATATTCTTCCTCGTTCTCTAAGATATTTGTGTTGGTATAACTACCCATCAAACCGATTTCCATCAGATTATAAGAAGGAAAATCTTGTTGAGCTTGACATGCCTTGTAGTGCGTTAAGCAACTTTGGACTGGTGTACAGGTATGCTATAATATTAGTTAACGGGTTGAATATCATGTGTAGAATGTTCATGATTACCTACTTCATATTACATGTTTTTGGTAAAATAATAAAAATTATTGTTATATACTGAATTAATTTATTTGTTCTTGTAGAATCTTAGAAATTTGAAGCGTATTAATCTTGGTTATTCCAAGCTACTGATCAAACTTCCAGATCTATCCCGAGCTCTAAAGCTAGAAAGTATTAATCTTGAGGGCTGTATAAATTTAGTTGAAGTTCCTCCGCTTAATTTTCAAGGATGTTTTGGATCTCTTACACTACGTGGTTGCATTAAGATTAAATCAGTCCCAAACATATCGGGGAATATCAAATACTTGAATTTAGACTGGACTGGAATAAAAGAATTGCACTTATCAATTGGGTGTTTTGAAAGTCTTGTGGAATTGAGCCTTCGTGGTTGTCAGCATATCAATAATTTTTCAGCAGCTTCTTTTCCGAGAAATATACAAGTTTTTAATTTAAGCGACTTGTCAATAAAACAAGTGCCCTTCTCAATTGAGTTGTTAGAAAATCTTGTGGAATTGAGGCTCGAAGGTTGTCAACATATCAAGCATCTTTCAGCAGCTCTTCAGAAAAATCTGAAAAAATTGAATTTGCGAGACTCATCAATAGAACAAGTGTCTTCATCGTCAATTGAGGGTCTTGATTTTCTGAGGGAATTTCGTCTTGGAGGATGCAAAAAGCTTGAGAGTCTCCCAACCAATATATTTAAATCCAAGTCTCTTGAAAGTCTTCAACTTGGCGGTTGTTGGAGATTGAAAAAATTCACAGAGATCCAAGTGTTAAGCAACTCAGTTATAATTGAAAAGTTTTTTGGGCTCCGTCGTCAAGATATGAGTTGGCGCAGAAAACTCGAGTTTGTCCCAAATTGGATTTATTATTTAAGTTGTCTAAAATTCTTGTCCCGCCACGGGTGTTTGGAACCTGAACATATCCAAATGAAGCAATTTTTATTGTTCTCTTTCGACCGGCTAATTCTATGTAACTGCAATATAGTAGAAATTCCAGTTTGGCTGAGCCTTTTATCCTCATTAACTTTGTTAGATCTAAGCGCGAACCAATTTGAGAATATACCTTCAACCATGATCATACAACTTCATCGGCTGGAAACACTCAACATTCAAAATTGCAAGAAGCTCCGATCTTTGCCACAACTTCCATCGTCTGTTATACGTCTACATGCAAGAGGATGTACTTCTCTGGAGACAATATCAAGTTCGGGGTGCTATGGATTCAACATACGGCATGTGACTCGCCCTTTCATTCACAAAAGATTTACGTTCCAAAATTGCTGGAAACTAGGACGGAATGCACGCAGCATTTTAACTGATTTCTTATACGGAGTTGATAAATTGAATTTGGTACGTATGTATTTTCTATCTCTGTTTTTTTTTTTTGAAGTAATTTTTGAAGATTGAAGTAATTAACATTAATACACTATTATTCATATATATTGGTGTCTGGTGATGTAGGGAGGAAATTATTGTCTTACAATTGGAGTATGTTATCCGGGAAATGAAATTCCAAAGTGGTTCAGGCATCAAGACGAGGGGATTTCAACAACTATGAAGCTTCCCCATGGTTGGCATAATTCTAATTTTATGGGTTTTGCCATTTGCATTGTTGCTTCAATATTCCCAGCAGGCACAGTCTCCAATTCTTCTAAGTACATGCACGGTCTCCAATATGTAGAAATTAAGTTTGACATACAACTTAAAACCAAGTGCGGTCAAATCCACAAATATAAACACGATATGGGTGCTTTCGTGGTCAAATCCAGAAGTAGTGATATTAGGTCGGACCATGTGTTCGTGCAATGCGTCACTGACAGCATGTTCAACGGACATCCTGATGCAATGGAGGCATCATTCTATTTGAAATTTAGATCTTTTGTCCAAAGTACGATATGTTATTCGAATGTGAAAAGGATTGGAGTTGGGTTGGTATATGCATGCAAATGATTGCTTTTGTGATTGGGGAGGAGGAATCAGCCGCTATCAAGAACGACTCTGTTATTATCTATCTGGTACTCTTCTCTTAATTTTAATTTGAAAGATAATTATATATGCGATGCACCTAAAATACGTCAATTAATATTTGAACGTATTCTTTTCATTAAATGCTGAAACATTAAAACTATAACGTCTGAGTTATTCGTTGAAACTTTTAGTCAAAATCCTACTATATAAAATTTTCCCCTAAATTGGAAAAATTGTCTTTTCACTCCAAATTTGGAGTGTTAATTGTTAGTTTTATCGGTTTTAAAAATTAGTTTCCTTTTTTCCTGGATACTTTTTAGCCAAACTTGTGTGACTTCAAGTGTTAGAAGAATAGCTTCATGGATATGATGTTTGAATTCATGATTACTCAATATTTTGGGGATATGTTATGTTTTTCTCCGGTCAATTGAAGATGTCTTTGTAATTCATTCTGGTTGTATGTGCTTTTTGTTCGTCTTTTCTTAGCTTTGTTGTCTTTACTTTTTTGTGTGACACAGAATGAAAGGTGAAAAGACAAACTTGAATTCTGATGTTGGAGAGAATGTTTTCAGCATTTTCAAGGATTGATAGGTAATTTAAATGTTATTACACATCTTTCTCTCCTAGTCTTTATGTGTTGGCGTTTTTCAAGGTTTTCTGATAAACTCTAACTTAAATAGAGGAGGTGACTGATAAGCCTTTACTTAAGAAATTATCTCAATTAATCCCATTTAATTCTTCAAGGTGACTGATAAGACAGGAGAGAGAATCGAGAGAGAGAGAGAGAGAGAGAGAGAGAGAGAGAGAGAGTGGCACGGGAGGAAAAAGGGAAAAAGAAAGAAAAGGAAGAAAAGAAAAAAAAGAAAAAAAGAAAAGAAAATAGATGCGTACCAACGTTTAAAAAAAAACAGTCTAAAAATGCGTCCATACACACTTCTGAGTTAAAAAAAAAATTACTGAGAATATTTAAATATCTTGAAATTATTTAAATTACACGTCAGAAACATTTATTAATCAAAACTAATTAATTACATCAGATTAGGCACACTAATAATTCTTAATTATCTCGATTAATCCCATTTAATTCTTTGGGGTGTTACAAGTTTGAATCACAACTCAAATTTTTTCTACTTTTTTTTTCCTTTTACAAAAATTCAAATTCAACTTGTATAGTATTTTTTCTCACATGAATTCACTTAATCAACTCAACTCAAGTTCACAAAACTTGAGTCTTAAACAACATAGTTTCACAAACGAATATGTAAGAAGCATAAAAAATTGATTCGTCCATATCGTAGAATGTTCTATTTATTCACATCGTAGAATGTTCTAAAATACAAAACAAGCCAGCAATCACTAATCAAAAAAATCAAATTACTCCAAATTTCCAAAGAGATCATTCTCCTTAAGAACTACAAAAATCCAGAAATTCCATATGAGGTCCAAACAAAAGAAATAAGAAGATTAAAAGAAGATTAAAAAAGGGATTAAAAGAAACGACAACAAACAAAAGAAATACAACCCACTGAATACTAGCATAGCATTCTTCTGAACACTATGCAATTAATACAGAATGCACTGCCTAACAGTGTACAATTGATGCTATCGTTCGTAACATTCTTACAACACTCCTTACAACAATTAATGTCTAACTTTATGTAACAAAAGAGACAAGAACCCTAAATCAATCGTCGCCGAATTCGACTGCCCATCCTACAAAAACAGAATGACAGATACATTCACGAGAACCCTTCTTTTTTCGCCGGAAATATAGAAGGCGAGTTTGTGAACATTCTAGTTTGTGACATAATTTTTTGTAGTTCAAACCACTTAAATCATTTTAAAATTCTCAATTACTCGGCCGACTACTGCCCCTACTAATAAGACAAATAATCAATGCCAAGTCACAATAGTTGACTCAACCAAGAATCAGGGAGAGCTGTTGGAAAATAACTATCCGTTAGAAACAAATATGGCAGAGTGTCATGCTCTGTCACGTGGATTTAAATTATCAAGGATTTCCTTTTAATTCTCCACTGATCAAGGAATGATTTCTACTCCAGAGAAATCATATTCTCTCTTTCCTAAACTATCTTTTGTTACCGTTGGAACCTTCTTGTATATATATACTATTGTATTAATCCTTAGAATATAATGAGATTGCAAACCTATTTTCACTCATTTATTCGTGTAATCCTTCAAGCCTTTTATTAGAAATCTATCATGGTATCAGAGCAGGTTTCATCAAGCTCTAAAATGCCATCTTTTGAAGAGCCAAAGCTTTCTATTCAACTCTTTCACCAGTGCTCTAGCCTAGTCTCCATTAAGTTGACTACCTCCAATTTTCTTCTTTGGAAATCTCAAATTCTTCCCCTGATTCGTAGCCTTGGAATAGAACACCACATCAATGATCCACAAAAACCAACTGATGAACTCGTTGATTCAGAGGGTAAGAAAATCACAAATCCAAATTTTGATGCTTGGATCAACAATGATGGTCTTCTTACATCCTGGCTTCTCGGAAACATGACGGAAGATGTGCTTAGCATGATTTTCGGTGGGGATACAGCATATGAAGTTTGGAACTCTCTCCCAGAACAACTGTTGCCCAACACCGACGAGAATGAATCTCAACTTAAAATTGGCTTATATGCCTTAACCAAAGGGTCGATGTCCCTTGGCGAGTACATCCGAAATTTCAAGAGTATTTGTGACAAACTGGCAGCAATCGGAAAGCCTCTTTCCGATATCGATAAAGTTTTCCAAATCTCAAAAGGGCTTGGCCCAAAATACAAGGATTTTAAAGTTGCTGTATTATCGAAACCTCCATATCCATCATTTAACCAATTTGTAATGTCATTACAGAATCATGAACAGGTTTATCTTGTGGACGAAAAGCAACAACTTGATCACAATCAAGCATTTCTTGGCCAAAGAGGAAGAGGAAGAGATCAACAAGGAGGAAGAGGCCAATCTAGAGGAAGAAGCTGGAACTCCTTTTCTCAGAATCGGCCCAACAACAACAATAATCAATCCTCAAATTTCCAACCTCAGTTAAAATTCAATAACACTAATAATTGGAAAGGAGAAGAACCAAGCAAGCCAACTCACAAGAAGGAAGCTTGCCCAATCTGTGGACGAACAAATCACATTGTAATCAAATGCTACTATAGGTATGATTATGTTCCTGAAGAGACAAAAACTCAGCAAGCTTTGGCAACTATGGACTTAAATAGTGAAGGTGACCAAAATTTTTATGCCGACTCGGGTGCAACGGCTCACATGACAAATAAAGGAGGTAACCTCAAATCTTTAAAACCTTATTTTGGTAAAGATTCAATCTTTGTTGGAAATGGACAGTCTTTACCAATCACTCATACAGGTAATACCTTGCTTCAGACTTCACAAGGCAATCTTAAGCTAAATGATGTTTTAGTCGTGCCAGAACTTAAAAAGAATTTATTGTCATTTAGTCAACTTATTGATGACAATTCTTGTTCTTTTGAATTTAATTCTAATGGTTTTGCTATTAAGGATTAGAATCAGCAAATTTTGGCCAAGGGGTGTAGAAAAGGAAACTTGTATGCACTTGAGAGAGGACACCTCGAGGAAGCAAATCTTGAAGCTCTTGCTGCAGTCAAATCTCAAGGAGCATCTTCAGAGATATGGCATGCTCGAATGGGGCATCCAAATTTAAAGTTTCTGCAAACTCTAGAAAAGAATAAAGTTATTTATGTTTCCAATTGGTTGACTAAGAATACTTTATGTACTAGTTGCCAATTAGGAAAGCGATGTAAACTTTCTTTTAACAAATCTGAATCAATTTCTCAATTTCCTCTAGAAAAGATCCATAGTGATTTATGGGGACCTGCCCCAATATTTTCTTCCCAAAAATTTCAATATTATGTGATATTTATTGATGATTTCACTCGTTATACTTGGTTATATCCTTTGAAAAATAAATATGATTTTTATGATTGTTTTTTAAAATTTCAAGTTTTTGTTGAGAAGCATTTTGACAGGAAAATAAAGCATTTTCAAAGCGATGGAGGAGGAGAATTTACATCACACGACTTCAAAAATCATTTGGCTCAATGTGGCATTGCACAACAAATTTCATGCCCGAACACACCTGAACAAAATGGTCTCGCTGAACGAAAGCATAGGCACATTGTTGAAACAGGCTTAACATTGCTCTTTCATACACACCTTCCTTTAAAATTTTGGGTAGATGCTTTTCTAACTGCTATGTATCTTATTAATCGCTTACCTTTCTCCTCTATTGGTAAGGAAACTCCTTATTTTCAACTTTTTGGTAAGAATCCTGATTATTCAGGAATACGTATTTTTAGTTGTCAATGTTTTCCATATTTAAAAACCCCTGGCCTGCATAAATTTTCAAAAAAAACTACGCCATGTGTATTCTTAGGTTATAGTCCTCTACATAAAGGTTATAGATGTCTTGATCCACACACTCATCGTATTTACATATCACGTCATGTTCTATTTAATGAAAGTCATTTTCCTTCAAACGACAAGTCTATGCCAACATCTACTCATGATTTAACTCTCACCTCTTTTCCTAATTTTGATGAATGGGTTTCCAGCAAAACATGCAACGGGTCAATGTCCAGCCTACCCACTAAATGTCAAGCCACACCAAAAATTTCTACTACTACAACTTTTGCAAACCAAAATCCTATACCTCATATTCTTCTTCCCATACAACCAAATCCTGACCGTGCTATTCCCAAAAACATTGCTCCTCAAAATCATGAAATCAATGACCCACCTTCTCGTTTAGACACCAATCAACCAAATTTAGCATCCTCTACGAATTTCAACATACCAAATACCACTCTTGCACGCACCTTCCTAGAGCCAATTAATTCATCCTCTAATATCATGTCCAATCACACATCAACTATCTCAGAATCATCCACTCAGATTTAATGCCACAAGTTATAGACATTCCCATTTCTCTTCCTCATCAACGTCCTACTCGTGAAAAATGCCCACCCGCTTACTTACAAGACTATGTCTGTCCCTCTATTACTTCTTCTTCCAATCCCAATACTGCTTTTCTTGTTTCCACTACTGAACCAAAAACTTTAAAAACAGCTCTCAAGTTTTCCAATTGGATAGAAGCTATGAAGGAAGAACGTGCTGCCCTTCAACAAAACAAAACATGGACCCTCTTCCCACGTCCTACTAGTGCTAATGTCATTGGGTCAAAATGGGTTTATCGCACCAAATTTCGAGAAGATGGAAGCGTTGATCGATTTAAAGCAAGACTTGTTGCCAAGGGATACACACAAATTCCAGGCCTTGATTTTGGTGAAACCTTTAGTCCAGTTGTTAAAGCCACAACTATTCGTGTCATCATCTCACTTGCGGTCCATTTCAAGTGGCCTTTAAAGCAATTGGATGTTAAGAATGCATTCCTTAACGGCCTCCTCCGTGAGCGTGTGTACATGGAACAACCTCCTGGCTTTTTAGATCCACAATTTTCTAATCATGTCTGCCTTCTCCATAAGTCTCTATATGGTCTTAAGCAAGCACCTCGTGCTTGGTTCGCTAGACTTTGTACTTGTTTATTTTCACTTGGTTTTATATGTAGTAAAGCTGATTCTTCTTTATTCATATATAATCATGGTACTTACATTATTCTTTTGCTTGTATATGTAGATGATGTTATCATCACCGGCAATGCTATTTCCTTAATCTCTCGTCTAACCCAACGACTCAATAAAGAATTCGCGCTTAAAGACCTCGGCCGACTACATTATTTTCTTGGACTTGAAGTAAAATATTTTTCTGGTGGCCTCACCCTTTCTCAAACTAAATATGCATGGGACCTTCTAGCCAAAGCCCAAATGCTTGATGTCTCCAAAATAAACACACCCATTGCTCACAAGCCAAATCCTATTCCAGATGACAAGGACCCTACAGACCCCACAGAATATCGTCAACTATGTGGTTCTCTCCAATATTTCACCTTCACCCGTCCAGACCTTACCCATGCTGTTAACCTTGCGTGTCAACATTTACAAAATCCTACTAAAAAGGACTTGCGAGCCGTCAAACGTATTCTACGTTATTTTAAAGGCACACTGACACATGGTCTTAGGTATTTATCTCAAAGTTCTCTCACTCTTAATGCTTTTTGTGATGCAGATTGGGCCGGTTGTCCAATCACTCGACGGAGCACTACTGCCTATTGCATTTATCTCGGCTCAAACTGTGTGTCTTGGACATCCAAGAAACAACCAATTGTTTCTCGCTCGAGCACTGAAGCAGAGTACAGGTCCTTGGCCACAACTGCTGCTGAAATTACTTGGCTTCAATATCTTCTTCGTGATCTTAATATCACTCTTAAACGACAACCTCTTCTATTTTGTGACAATAAGAGTGCTATTCACATGATACACAACCCTGTATTTTATGCTAGAACTAAGCATATTGAGCTTGACTATCACTTTATTCGAGAAAAAATCATACACAGCGCTCTCAAAGTTTGCCATATATCCACATCCAAGCAAATTGCTGATGTTCTTACTAAGGCACTTCCACGTGCGACATTTGAAGATTTTCGTTTCAAGCTTGGTGTTCATTGCATCTCCCTGCCAAGCTTGAGGGAGGCTAATAAGACAAATAATCAATGCCACGTCACAATAGTTGACTCAACCAAGAATCATGGAGAGCTGTTAGAAAATAACTATCCGTTAGAAACAAATATGGCAGAGTGTCATGCTCTGTCACGTGGATTCAAATTATCAAGGATTTCCTCTTAATTCTTCACTGATCAAGGAATGATTTCTACTCCAGAGAAATCACATTCTCTCTTTCCTAAACTATCTTTTGTTACCATTGGAACCTTCTTGTATATATATACTATTGTATTAATCCTTAGAATATAATGAGATTGCAAACCTATTTTCACTCATTTATTCGTGTAATCCTTCAAGCCTTTTATTAGAAATCTATCACCTACTACTCCAAACAGAACACAACAATTTTAAAGAGAATCTAAAAATTCTACTGCTCATTTCGAAGCCCTTCACAGTTTTCTTCAAATGTCAATTCATTTTCTTACCTCGCAATTATGTCATTTTGGTATAGGTATCCAATCCTCCTTTGACATGTCAAGAAATTCACTATGTCCGTTATCAAACAAAATCTGCAACAAGAAGAAAATGATGAATTCTTTTTTTTTTTTTTTTGTCCCCCCACCCTTTTTGAGTGCCGAGAGAAGAACCATAGCAACCATGCCAAGAAATTGATAGAAATGATCATCTTAAAATTAACAATGAAATCTCTTACCCTGTGTTTTCTGGAATACTTATCAAATCGTTTAATAATCCCAAAGGACCTGGATCATTTCATACATAGAGAAGAAACATGCATCAATTTAAGTGTAAAAAAAAAAGTGACCACCTTATATTGATATTCTACAGATTTTTGTTACAATAAATTGCAAAAAAAGGGATGCAGCCAAAAATCTTAAAAGGCAAGAAAAATGACAAGTTATATTTGGAACATGGCTTGAGAAACTTTACAATGAACATGAGGGCGTATTTAGAAGATATGAGAGACATTCCGGAGAGAGAATACCTAACATGTGGGCGGCTTATCATAATATTTGACCAACGCAGTTAGTCACAAAAGTTTTTTTGTTACGTCCATGTTGAGAGCTCCCTGAGAGAGATAATAAGATCAATAACTAACAAGGAAAAACCTTACTGTTTTTTTGATAGAAAGCTTTGTAATATTTGATCTAATTAAACAAGGGTCAGTAACCTGACTTTACCTATATGCAGATCTCCATTCTGGTATGCCTGTTCAAAAAACAATAAATACATAAAAAAATAAATAAAAAAAGACAATGAGAGACCCACTATAACAAGGGCAGAATACAACAAGCGTATTACGTTAACAATGCAAAAGTAATATATTATCTACACTGGAAAATGATTTAAAAACAGGGGCTCCCTTGCAAAAATGATAATGCAGACTGTTCCATATGGTTTGGTATTGCCACCTTAAGGATGTTTCCAAAACAGACATTTATCCTTTTGTTTCTTTAAATTTACACCTATGACGGGTATCTAAAGCAAAACACGAAATTTATGCAATACATGCCATTTTCATCAACTATTTCAAAAAGTATGGAAAAACCACAGGAACAACAGTACATACATCTTTTCTAGACAAAGCATGATTTGAAAATATCCTTTTCTAGACAAAGGATATTTTCCTCGATATTGCATGTTTTCTTAAAGGGGAGAGAAGAGATTTTATAGAGAGCATGATTTGATACAAGGGATGGGTTGGGAAATTGTTCGCCAACAATCTATTAAAGATCCTGGTGAGCGTAGCCCGTTGTGGATTCCTCAAGATGTCTATAATGTTCTAGAAAATAACGGAGTCAGTATTAAATTCTAATTAAGCGGCTATAGAATAATATCTATCTATCTCTCTCTATGCGTAATTAGTTTTAGTTACTGTTCCTTTTTGTTTTTCATAACTCATATTCTCATTTATCATTTCTTTAAATTTCTAGGGAACCGGAGCAATCGAAGGAATATACCTTGACATGTTTAAGATTGATGATGATCTACACTTGGAACCTACGGTTTTCGACAAGATGCATAGACAGAGATTGCTCAAGATATACGATCATTTCTATGATCATAAATTCAAAGTATATCTTACACAAGGTTTGGAGTTTCTCCCTCCTTCCCTAAGATATCTTTGCTGGTATAACTACCCATTAAAATCTTTACCATCAAATTATAAGAGGAAAAATCTTGTTGAACTTGACATGCCCCATATCAAGCTTAAGCAACTTTGGAGTGGTGTACAGGTATGCTATAAAATTAATTAAGAATTTAAATATCATGTATTAAATGTTTATGATTACCTATTATTTCTTATTTAAAAAAACCAATTATTTACTAAATTTGCAACGACTCGAGTTTTCGCACCACTAGTTTGTATGACCAAGAAAATTAAAAAGTTGGAATTCAACTATTTTGACGAGTCGACCAACATAAAATAGAGTAAATCATATCTGATAAAAATCTACATACAAAATTGAATACCTGACAGCCACTTTAAGTCAAACCTTAGACTTGGCTTGAGTGGGAATCTTATGGTACGATTCGTATTACTGAGAAAGTTAGTCTACTTTTTGTGTTTGTATCGAGTTTACAGATATCCTAGCTAGGAACTTCCTTTAATCATGTTGTGGATTGAATTTAATCCTTGTGAATTAAATAACTTACATAACCTAAGTAATACTCATGGAACTTTATGCATTCTTAATGTTATTTATCATTTTGACATTTGAAGTTTTACCGTGCGTGATCTTTTAGGATCTATTGGAACATTTAGAATTCCTAATAAATTCTTGTAACTTAATATTACTAAGCAGTGATAGAAATCTTTAAAAAATTGATAATTCTAAAAATCTCATGTACAATTTAAATTCATGAACTAAAAGCATGCCTATTCAGACATGCTTACATAATTGATCATCAAATAAGATAATAATTTTCTTATTGCAAGTAAAGTATCATGACATGCACTAATGGGGAAATTCATAATCCAAATTGTCATTAAATCATATTTTTATTCATCAATTTATTGGGGCTTACAAAATTAAATTATTTTTTCTTGTAGAATCTTGGAAATTTGAAGCGTATTAATCTTGGTTATTCCAAGCAACTGATCAATCCTTGTTACAACATACCAACTCCCAAAATCTCACCAAGTAAACGGTTAGTGCCCAAAATCTCACCAAACAAAGGGTTAGTGAACCGCTCTGATAACAATTGAAAGGTCTGTTTTTCGGTCGGTGTCACAAGTGGTGTTGCAACACTGGTCGTGATACTGATGACAGCTAAAGTGTAGACATATATTTTTTTCTTTTAATTCAGTTCCAGTGATTGTGAGTGCAATAAAATAACAAAAAGCATAAAAAACACACGAAAATGGTATCGTTGTTCGGTGTGCACACCTATTCTGCGGGGCCACACCCACTCAGTGAACAATCTACTAAGATAAAGAGATTAGAAACACCAATCGGTCTTACACACTCAAAGACTCCCTCCTTGATGTTGTCGCCGTTATGGAGAATCCTCTTAGTGGCCTTGTTCAGCGAGCACTACTCGTCTTTGAAAACTTTCTCCCGAAAGCAATACGGTATTCTCCCGAAGAACCACCTTTTGTTTTTTTCACTCAACAGCCATCAAAGCAGCCTTTTTGCTGCAGAATATATGATTAAAAAAACTCTCATGTTTCTGCGAAAAACCAGCACACTCAGCCTCAAAAAGTTCTTCTGTTTTTTTGTTAAAACCAGCCCATCAACCTTTGCTCGTCACACTGCAGAAAAACCACCACTGCCAACCAAAACAAATCAACCTAATCAAGGCAAAATAATCACCACAGATTCTTTCCATAGATACCTCCAATCATCCCGTCGAGTCAACCAAATCAGCCACCAAAAGTCTATAGTGGAGAAACATTCCAAAAATGGTGCAAACAGCCTGAAATAGACTTCCCATAGCTGTCAACAAACTCCAAAAATGAACTTGACCCTGTTTTTGAATTTTGTACAACCTAACTCCAAAATATGCCAACTAATAAAATCCTAACAATCTCCCCCTTTGACATTTTTTTGGCAAAACTAACACAAGTTCCTATTTTCCATAAAAATTCAAAAACTTTCAAAAACTAGACAAATCATAAAAGTACAGGCACATCATAGTATAATGTTCTCGCCCTTTTTGACAAAAATAGGCCAAAACAATCTCCCTCTTTGAAACACTCGGAAACAATTCATTGATTTCTGCAACTTGCTCCCCCTGAGTCCTCTAGGAGTCTTACTCCCCCTGAATATAACACTATCTTAATCTTGATATTATCACCTGTTAAATGCTTGGACCAGCCACCATTACTACACACACAACCATTAGTACATGCTTGTAAAGAAGTATAAGTCCTATGACACCTTAAATCAGTTTTCCTTACCCAAACACGTCTAGGAAATTTATTTTGCACATCAATCTTTGCATTAGGTGTCCTTCTTGAGTTTGCGGAAATTGGTGGATTCATGAGCATACCTCTCTTCAAGGCATTCAAATACTTGTAGCATCTTGGTCTTATATGGCCAGCTAAACCGTAATAATGACATATAGGGACAAACTTTTTACGTCGTGGGGGTGAGATAATACCTTTCTTATAGAGCATAGTCTGAGATTCATGAGCGGGTGTCTCCTTCACAAACACTCACTTGGACGTTGAACATTCACCAGTGTAGCCAAGTCCATGACGATCACAACTTGCTTTTCCTATAGAGAGAATATGATCAAGTTTGGTGGTCCCGGAATTCATCATCTTCAGATTTTTCTGAGTGTTCTCGAGTTTAGCCTTTGTGTGCTGCAGCTTTTTCTCATTTTCAGCAGCTTGAAATTCATAGTTTATGGTAGCCTTCTTAAGCACATCCTTCTCTTTAATAAGCTCATCAACTCGCTCCTGTAGAGACTTATTCATTTCACACACTTTAACCCATTTATCAAACATGATTTTGTATGCTTCCTATATTGCATCATCTGTCAATTCTTTTCCATCACTGCTGCTGGTTGATTCTGATTCACTTTCTTCCTTCTTACTGTTCATTGTCTCCAAATCAGCTATTGTTGTGACACTGTCTGCGACACCGTTTGTAACACTATCTGCAGAAACGTCCATATCAGCATAAACATTGAAAGAAACATAGTTGCTCACATGTTCGTCATCTTCTGACTCTTCATCACTCCAGGTTGCACTTAGTGACTTCTTCTTCTTCTTGAGGGTATTGGCACATTCAGATTGAATATGGCCATAACCATCACATTCTCGACATTGAATACCTTTGTTCTTTGTCTTTAATTTTGTGGTATTTGCTGCAGATTTACTCTTTTGAAAATGACTGGAGTTGCCATTTCTTGAATTCTCATTCTTCCTATTGACCTTCTTCATCACCTTGTTGAATTTCTTCGACAACTTTGTTATGGATTGGGCCAAGTCTTCTTCATCATCGGAATCAACTTCGGCTTGGAAGGCAATACTTTTCTCCTTCTTTCCTTCCTTGTTTTCATCTAGATTCATCTCAAAAGTGTGCAAAGAACCCATTAGCTCATCAAGTTTCATTGTTTGGACATCCTTGGCTTCCTCAATAGCTGTCACCTTGTAAGCAATCCTCTGTGGAAGAGACCTCAAGACCTTCCTCACAAGCTTCTCCTCTGATATTTTCTCTCCAAGGGCAAATGCCTCATTAGCAATATCACACAATTTTGAATTGAAATCAGAAATTATTTCATCTTTAAGCGTGCGTAAGTTTTCAAACCTAGTAGTGAGAATTTGAAGCTTTGATAGTCTCACGCCTGCCGTGCCCTCATGCGCCGTTTGTAGAATTTCCTAAGCCTCCTTAGCTGACTCACATGTAGAAATGAGTTTGAATTGATTGGCATCCACCTCGTTGAAGATGGCATTAAGTGCTCTGGAATTGCTATTCGCCAATCGATCTTCTTCAGTAGACCATTTCTCTTCAGGTTTCATAACTTCTTCTCCAGCCTCATTTTTGGTAACGGGGTG